TCATAGGACTCCTATGTGGGAAACAGAAAGATCTTCAACAAAGTGAACCAAGTAAAGGCTGAGTGTGGTGGCTCACACTTGTAATTCCAGCACTTTTAGAGGCTGAGGCAAGTGGATCACTTGAGGTCAGGAGTTGAAGACCAGCCTGGCCAATGTGGTGAAACCTCATCTCTACTAAAAATTAAAAAATTACTGGTTGTGGCGGGTGCCTGTAATCCAAGCTAATCATGAGACCGAGGCAGGAGAATCGCTTAAACCTGGGAGGCAGAGGTTACAGTGAGCCAAGATTGTGCCACTGCACTCCAGCCTGGGCAAGTGACAGAGTGAGACTCTGTTTTAAAACAAAACAAAACAAAAAAAAAAAAAGTGAATCAGCTAGAAAAAGGTACCCCTTTCTCCATAATGATACAGCCTCACTTAGGTATTTCAGACTTGGATTTTAACCAAAGGCAACAGCTCTGTTCCTATTCTGCCCCTGACCAAGGGTCTTGTGCTCCTCCTTTGACTTGCATTTCTCTCCCACCCATCTTTCTCCCATTTCCAAAAACAGTGTCATGCTTAGCTCCTCTCCTCCCCAGATGGTGGCAGAGGCAGGCTTTGGTCCCTGAAGTTGCCAGCCCTTACTTGCCCTATGCCTCAAGCTCCGGGGTTTGCTGAAGCAAGAATTCTATTTAGTTGTGTACCAGTGTGATTTCTTACGTCTGGGAAAGCTCTTCATCCCTGCCCACTTCAGTTCAGTTCAGGTGCCCACCATCATGGTTTTTTGAGACATCCTCTAAGTGACCATTCTGTATTGTCCAACTTAAGTGACCATTCTTTTCTTCTGAAAGCCCTGTGCCCTTCGCTTTGCAGACTTCCTCTTCCATATCCACCTATTTCTGAATGTGGTTTTTGTTGTTGGTTTGTGTTTAGTCCAGGACCCCTCCTACCCCATCCCCATGGGTGTTACTCATGTAGACTTAGCCATCATCTGCACGTTCGACATAACTTCCTCTGTGTCCTCAGTCCTGTACAAGGAGCCCCTCACTCCGCAGTCAGAGATGAGACTTAAAAGCTGAATGTTCCTACCACTTCATATTTTCTAAAATGGCCTTAATTTAAAAACAAAAAAGAATATAACAAGTGTTGGCAAGGATGTGAGAAATTGGAACACTGTACATTGCTGATGGGAATATAAAAACGCTGCTGTGGAAAAAGTTTGGTGGTTCCTCAAAATGTTAAAATGGAATTAGTACACCAGCCAGTGCCTGAGTCCGTTCATGCTGCTATAACAAAAGACCTTAAACTGGGCAATTTATAATAACAGAAATTCATTTCTTACAGTTATAGAGGCTGGAAAATCCAAGGTCGAGATGCCAGCAGGTTTGGGGTCTGGTGAGGGCTCCCTGCTTCAAAGACGGAGTATGTGCTACACCCTCACACTGTTGGAAGGGTGAACACCTCCTTCACACCTCTGTTATGAGAGTGCTAATCCAAATTAACGCCTCCAAAGGCCCCATCTCTTAATATAGTTGTGTGTTGGGGATATATTCTGAGAAATGTATTGTCAGGGCTGGGTGTGGTGGCTCACGCCTGTTATCTCAGCACTTTGGGAGGCCAAGATGGATGGATCAGGAGGTCAGGAGATCGAGACCATCCTGGCTAACATGGTGAAACCCCGTCTCTACTAAAATATAAAAAATTAGCCGGGTGTAGTGGTATGTGCCTGTAGCCCCAGCTACTGGGGAGGCTGAGGCAGGGGAATCACTTGAACCTGAGAGGTAGAGGTTGTAGTGAGCCGAGATTGTGCCACTGCACTTCAGTCTGGCAGCAGAGCAAGACTCTGACTTAAAAAAAAAAGAAATGTACTGTCAGAAGATTTTGTCATTCTACAACATTATAGACCATACTTACACAAACGTAGGTAGTATAGCTTTGTACACACCCAGGCCATATGGTATGGCCTGTTGCTCATAGGATATAAACCTATACAACATGTTACTGTACTGGACCCTGTAGGCACCTGTAACACAACAGTAAACATTTGTATCTAAGCATATCTACACTTGGAAAAGTATCAGGAAAAATATGGCATAAAAGCTCCATTATAATATGGCGCCACTCTCGTATATGTAGCTCTTTGTTGACTGAAATGTTATTATATGGCAAATTCCGATACTATCACATTGATGATTAAGTTTTAACGTATAAATTTTGTGTGTGTGTGTGTGGGACACATTTAGACCATAGTACCCAGCAACCGTTAATGTATGAGTGGATAAACAAAATGTAATATATCCTTACAATGGAATGTTATTCAGCCATAAAAAAGAATAAGGTACTAGTATATGCTGTAATATGGATGAACCTTAAAAACATTATGGTAAGTGAAAAAATAAGCTAGATACAAAAGATCATACATTGTATGATTCCACTTATGTGAAATATTTAGAACAGGTAAAATCATAGAGACAAAAGACAGATTGGTGGTTGCCAGGAGCCGAGGGAGAGAGAAATGAGGAGTGACTATTTAATGAGAATAGCATTTCTTTTCAGGGTGATGAAAACATTTTTGGAACTAGATAGAGGTAATGGTTGCCCATTATGAATGTACTAAATGCCACTGAATTGTATATTTTAAAACAGTTTTATGGTATGTGAATTTTACCTCAATTTTTAAACGTTCAGAAAAAAAAAAAAAAGCCATGAGTCTGTGAAACAAACAACCCCAAAATTAGCCAAACAAAAAGTGAGTTAAAGTAATTAGAGGTGAGGTTCTGGGGTTATGCTATCCAAGATGACAGTCACTGGCCACATGTAGCTGGCTGTTGAACACAGAAAATGTGCCTAGCCCAAACTGAGGCTTGTTGGGAGCATGAAATTTACACTGTTCTTCAAGTCCATGGTGTGAACAAAAGAATGTAAAGTAGGCTAGGCACAGTGACTCATTTCTGTAATCCCAGCACTTTGGGAGTCTGAGGTAGGAGGATTGCTTGAGGCCAGGAGTGCACAGCATGGTGGTGCATGCCTATAATCCTAGCTATTCAAGAGGCTGAGGCTGGAGGCTCCTTTAAGCCTGGGAGTTAGAGGCTGCAGGGAGCTGATCCCACCACTGTATTCTGGCCTACTTGACAGAGTAAGACCCAGTCTCTCCGAAAAAAAAAAAAAAAAAAAAAAGCAAACTATCTCATTAATGATATTTTATAGTGATTACATGTTCAAATGACAATATTTTGAATACATTGCATTAAGATAGATTATTAAAAATTAAAAAAAGTTGAATGCCCATGGAGACATAACATGAAGATTTAAATCCACCCCAAAGTCTACGAGATAAAATGATACCATTTTAAAGCTGGGATGAAACTTTCAAATATGATCTTTACCTAAAAATAGGTTTTGATTAGGATGAGAAAGCTGTCAAAGGACAACTAAGGGGGATACTAGAAAGAGTCCTCTTTTCCTGTAGGCCCAGGGCAAAAGGCTGGCCTGGCTGGGGAGGATGATTGGGAGCTGGACAGTGTCTACTCTTTTTCATGCCTTCATTAAACATTTTTTTTTAAACCATTGTTTAATACAGACCTTATTTTTAAAAAGATAAATGCAGGTGGGCGTGGTGGCTCACGCCTCTAATCCCAGTACTTTGGGAGGCTGAGGAGTGGCTCACCTGAGGTCAGGAGTTAGAGACCAGCCTGGCCAACATAGTTGTTAGTAGAAACCCAGTCTCTACTAAAAATACAAAAATTAGTTGCACGTGGTGGTGAGTGTCTGTAGTCCCAGCTACTCAGGGGACTGAGGCAGGAGAATCTCTTGAACCTGGGAGGCAGAGGTTGCAGTGTGAAAGACTGTGCCATTGAACTGCAGCCTGGGCAACAAGAAGAAACTCTGTCTCAAAAACAAACAAACAAACAAACAAACAAGTAAGTAAGTAAATGCAGCCAGGTATGGTGGCATGCCCCTAGTCCTACCTACTTGGGAGGCTCTGGTGGGAGGATCACTTCAGCCCAGCCTAGACAACATAGCTAGACCACATCTCTTAAAAAAAGATAATGAAGGCCAGCACCATGGCTCACAACTGTGATTGCAGCACTTTGGGAGGCTAAGTAAGGTGGATCACTAGGTCAAGAGATCGAGACCATCCTGGCCAACATGGTGAAACCCCATCTGTTACAAAAATACAAAAGTTAGTTGGGCTTGGTGGCACATGACAGTCCCAGCTACTCAGGAAGCTGAGGCAGGTGAATCACTTGAACCCAGGAGGCGGAGGTTGCAGTGAGCTGAGATCACGCCACTGCACTCTAGCCTGGCAACAGAGCAAGACTTTGTCTCAAAAAGAAAAAAAAAGAAAAGAAAAAGAAAAAAAGTAAGTGCAAGTAAATTAGAATGCTTCATAATTAAACTTGCAATTACTGGTTCTTTGAATCAAGAGAGGAGCTTGGCAGCTTTCATAGACTGCAGTGTTTTTATAGCTGCTCCTATGATCAAAGAAGCAGCAGGGAGCCCCTTAAATGGTCATTTAAAATTTTTAAATTTTCCTGATTCTGTATCTGTTGTCAAAAAAAAGTGTAAGAGACTGGGTGTGGTGGCTCACACTTGTAATCCCAGCACTTTGGGGGGCTGAGGTGGGTGGATCACTTGAGGTCAGGAGTTCGAGACCAGCCTGGCCAACATGGGGAAATCCCATCTCTACTAAAAATACAAAAATTAGCCAGGCATGGTGGTGGGTGCCTGTAATCCCAGCTCCTCGGGAGGCTGAGGCAGGGGAGTTGCTTGAACTCGGCAGGTGGAGGTTGCAGTGAGCTGACATTGCACCACTGCACTTGAGCCTTCCAGCCTGGGTGACAGTGAGACCCATCCCAAAGAACAAAGGAAGAAAGAAAGAAAGAAAAATGCAAGAACTGAAACAAGATATATGACCACATTTATCCCAGTTTGCAGGGCATACTTGAAAGAGCCCACTTTATTTTTTTGCCCTTTTTACTTTATACTCATCTTTGTGTTTTACATTTTTTTTCCCGCAGATCAGCAATGTCTTGTTTTTCATTTTACCGCCCATCTGCATGTGCTTGTTTCGTCAGTATGCAACATGCTTCAACAGCGGCATCTACTTAATATGGACTCTTTTAGTTGTAGTGGGTAAGTGGAGTAGTTTCGGAACGTGGACAGAACGGGAGGAAAAGGAATTCCACACACTTCTGGTCCCCTTTGAACATAATGTTTTGTAAACTAGTGTCATTCTGAGGTCTTAGCAAACTTTTTTTCTGCTTGCTTGCTGGCAAAAGGACTCTTAAATTCAGGCTTGTCCCCTTTGAACATGTTTTGTAAACTAAAGTCACTCTGAGGTCTTAGCAAACTTTTTTTCTGCTTGCTTGCTGGCAAAAGGACTCTTAAATTCAGGCTTGTCCCCTTTGAACATAATGTTTTGTAAACTAAAGTCAATCTGAGGTCTTAGCAAACTTTTTTTCTGCTTGCTTGCTGGCAAAAGGACTCTTAAATTCAGGCTTGATAACAAGGTTGGCATTACTATCTCTTGCCTGCATTTGAGACTTCATTTGTGTAGTTGCTATTGGGGCAATGCCAGTGCAGTTTTCTGAGAGCGGCTGAGGAAAGTCATGTGAAACAATTGAACTCTGGGGAGGCTGGTTTCTAATGGACTAAAATTGAAGAAAAAAATGTAGATGTTTGATCCCTCATTGTTTTGTGAAATGCTTGTGTCATTTCCATTTCCTCCCACAGGCAGGTTGGGAATTCTTTACACTGAGGGAAAGTTGACTTTTATTTACTGCCTCTTCTCATAAAGGCTCTGTGGATGAAGGCAGAATGTGTTTAACTGTGGAACTATTAAAGTTCTGATGTGCTGATGTTTGGGCCCTGGTTGAAATCCTCTTTCTAGACTTGAGGCTTGCATGCCTGGGTGGTATGAGTTTCTTTCTTCAGTTTCTTTTTTCAGAGAGAGAGAGTGATCTGGTGACTGTGATAACTGTTGGTGAAAGGACTATCCTTAAGCAGTGTATTGAATTTGTGTCCCTTCTGTGGTGACCTTTTTATATTGGTTGTAATTGATTCTAGGAATTGGATCTGTCTACTTCCATGCAACTCTTAGTTTCCTGGGTCAGATGCTTGATGAACTTGCAATCCTTTGGGTTCTGATGTGTGCTTTGGCCATGTGGTTCCCCAGAAGGTATCTGCCAAAGATCTTTCGGAATGACCGGTAAGCTTGCACTAAACATTTTTGCATTTGCCGCTAGGGGTGGTACCCCATATAACAATGTATATATGAAGAAAAATAGCACATGATTGAGTTTAGCCTAGTGATGAGCTTCTCATATACTTGTTCAGTATCTACTGATTGTTTTTATGATCTGACAATATAAATAGACTGGCAGATTAAAGAGGGAATTTTAATGCTTGGGGAAGAACTGATATAACATCAGGGACAAAGAGTCAAATAGTATCCTTGTTTGATATGAGCAAGAATGGAAAGACCTTCAGTGGGGGCAACATACTGAATGGTGATTTGATACTCATTGATTTTTCTGCTGTAACATTTCCTTGAGACAAATCCAACTCCACCAGTTTTATACATCCGAAGTAGACTCCAGATTGATAATCTGGTTCTTGGAGCTATAGATACTGTAGTTTTCAAGTTGCTTCTTTTTTTTTGCTTCTGATGAGAGCTGTGTACCTGTGTGCATGCACATGCATGTGCACACGTGCACACACACACACACACACACACATACATTCTTATATACTGTATATATGTTCAAACTGGAAACCCAGAAGTTCAGGAAGGATGCATGTTAATAGCCATTGTGTTAGGGTTATACAATTATCCATCCAGTAAATATTTTTGAACACTTACATTTTACTATACATTTTTTTTTTTAAAGACAGAAATCATAAGACCATTTTATTCAAAACGTGGAGCGAAACAGCTAAATTATAACTCAAGAATGAGGGTAAAATAAAGACATTTTCCAGCAAAAAGTGTCCCACTAATACTTCCACCAAAGAATTATGAAAAAATGTACATTACGAGGAAAACTGAATCCATAACCAAGATTGACAATGCCAAATAAAATAGTGAACAAAGTCATTAGTAATCACCTGGGAAAATCTAAATGAGCACTGACAGGGTAAATCAGTAATAGTAACCGACGTCAGGAATATAAAAGCAAGGTGGAACTATAATGCTTAATATCAATAACATGTGAGACAGTACTATACATTTTTCTAGGCACTGGAATATCACGGTAAAACAGCAGAGTCTTCCTCTAATGAGCTTACATTGAAGTTGGGGAGATTACAGATCAACAAACAAACAAGTAAATAATATAATGTTAGAATATGTTGGGTACTGTGATGAAAAGTGAAGCTGATAAGGGTTTAGTGGTGACAGCGTGTGATTTAGAGTTTGGTCAGAGAAAATCTTTCTCAGGTGTGTGAAGTTTGTCACTATCTAAAGGCAAAGAGGAGATTCAGCCCAATAAAGATGAGAAACGTTCCCAGAACAGATTACCCACATTCTCTGTAGGACACTGTTTTGTCAAAATATGTATTATTATGGCTAAATAGTCTAAAACTATGGATTCAATGACGCAAATGTGCCCATGGAAGACTTATACCAGGAAAATAAAATAATTCATTATAGTTTTACTGGCACTTTGAAAAGGGACAGGAGCTGTGCAACTGCTGAGGACTAAGGCTGCTGTCTGTGAATGCAAATGGAGAAGCATCTATGAAAAATATTGGCTGCAAGTGGCACATTATATAATTGTGTGTATGATATCCTAATTTTAGAATGAACGAAACTCTTTCTCAGTATGTTTTTGTATTAGCACAAAACTGCCTGGGAGGTAAGGACACCTAGCTACAGCCATTGGCTATTCTTGGGAATTACAGCAGAGAGGGACAGCCACTTTTACCTTTCACCTGAACTGGTTGATTTTTTTTTTCCTTTCTCTCTCTCTTCCTTCCTTCCTTCCTTCTTTCCCTCCCCCTTTCTTTCTTTTTCTCTTCATCCCTCCCTCTCTCCCTCTCTCCCTCCCTCTTTCCTTTCCTCCTTTCCTTCCTTCCCTCCTTCCCCCTCTTTCTTCCTTTCTTTCTTTTTTTTCTTTCTTTCTTTTTCTTTCTCTCTCTCTTTCTCTCTTCCTTCCTCCCTCCTTCCCTCCCTCCCTCCCTCCTTTCCTTCCTTCCTTCCTTCTTTTTTTGTCACACTCTGTGTCCAGGCTAGTGTGCCATGGAGTGATCTTGGCTCAATGCAGTCTCAACCTCCCCAGGCTCAGGTGGTTCTGCCTACCTCAGCCTCCCCAGGAACTGGGACTACAGGTGCATGCCACCACATCTGCCTAATTTTTGTATTTTTGATAGAGAAGAGGTCTTGTTATGTTGCCCAGGTTGGTCTTGAACTCCTGGGCTCAAGCAATCCGCCCACTTCAGTTTCCCAAAGTACTGGGGCTACAGATATGAACCACTGCACCTGGCCTAATTCTTTTTTTAAATAGAGATAGGGTATTGTCATGTTGCCAAGGCTGGTCTCAAACTTCTGGGCTCAAGTGGTCTTCCCATTTGGCCTCCCAAGATGCTGGGATTATAAGCGCGAGCCTCTGCGCTTGGCCATGGCCTAATTTTTAATACTAAATATTTATTTTAAAATGAGCTAGGGAGAAAACGTGCATTGATTGGATTAGCTGTACAATCTTATCCTGAGAAGCAGGATTTGAATTGAATAGTATCATCTCTGAGTATCCATTAGCAGATAGAAGTATCCTTAAGAAGGTTACTTATCAGAAAATGAGAAAGCGAGAGTGTAAAAAGGGGTGGTGGGGCAGGGAGGAGGAGGAGAGAGAGAGAGAAAGAGAGCAAGGGAGTGAGAGACAGAGAAAGAGCTGTTTACAAGTAGAGGTTCCTCGTCTTAGATGAACAGTGGTTCTCCATCTTGGTGAGGCCTTCTAATCGGCAGGGAAAATATGCTTTCAAACGTGGGCAGGTTGGTTTACGCGGTCTCCAGTTTCCAGTCCTGTTTAGTTTCTTCATTCAACTTTAGGAGAAGCCTTTGGAGGTGAGGAAGGGGTTAAGGATGCAGGTGGAGGTAGAGGGCACCAGGTAGGGTTGTGAGATGGTTCTGCACATAGGCACCTTTTGACTCTGCCTGAAAAACAAGCCATTTACCTTTTGGCTTTTCCCTGTCTTGAAATGTACCCACCAGTCACCACCATCCTTTCTCTTAACCTGGTGTACATTAGATTGAGAGCCGAGGAACCACTTTGCTCATAGGTGTTATCTTTCAAGTCCTGAAATCTGAGTAAGATATTAAAGAAATGGGAATAAAGGTTTGTGTTTGTGACATTCTGGAGGCCTGGGTTGAAATTCCAAGGGATAGTTTTTAATGTATTCATTACAGAAAACCTTGTTTTCTTTTCTTTTCTTGGTTCCTGGAGGTAGGAGGAATGCTGTTTGAGCAGGAAAGAAGAAAGTAGGATGATGACATTGGTAGTTAAAGCTTATCAACTTACTTATTATCCATCCATCTGTGTATGTATGTATGTATGTATGTATGTATGTATGTATGTATCTATATCTATCTATCTATCTATCTTGTAGCCCAGGCTGGAGTGCAATGGCATGATCTTGGCTCACTGCAACCTCCACCTCTCAGATTCAAGCAATTCTCCTGCCTCAGCTTCTCGAGTAGCTGGGACTACAGCCGTGTGCCATCATGACCAGCTAATTTTTACATTTTTAGTAGAGACATGGTTTCACCACGCTGGCCAGGATGGCCTCCGTCTCTTGACCTTGTGATCCACCCACTTCAGCCTCCTAAAGTGCTGGGATTACAGGTGTGAGCCACCGCACCTGGCAAGGCTTATTACCAACTTTGGTAGTTAAAACAGAGCCAGGTATGGTGGTACATGCCTGTAGTCCCAGCCACTCAGGAAACTGAGCCCAGGAGTTTGAGCCCAGCCTGGGCAACACAGTGAAACCCCATTAAAAATAGGAAAAAAAAAAAAAAAAGAAAACATATTGTGAGGCAGAGTTGTCTGTGACTGGGACTTTTTCTTCACCAGCAGCCTGCAGCATTTCTCTGGGGAAGATGTGAAAATACAGCCACTCTGTCTTCCTTTAGAGGCAGTGGGTACCATGTGTATATATATCCCTGGCTTTGGAAACAATCTGGGTTTGAATCCTAGCTTTACAATTTGCAAACTGTATGACTTGTCTTGACTCTTTCTGTTTCCTCATGTGTAAAATTATATAAACAATACTGTTGATCTCTGGGACCTCTGAGATGATCCTGGAGAGCACTTAGCACAATACGAAGCAACATGGAGAGGGCTCAGTCAAAGTTAGCTCTCCGGACTGCCTGGGGCATGGAGAGGAGAGTTCTGCCTAGCATTTCTGAGATACGCATATGAATTGATGGAGAGAATGGACATTGAAAATTTTAATGAGCAAAGAAATAAAAGGTGCATGTTAAGGGAAAAGTAAATAAGGTTTTCAACGCTGTTTGTACATCTTCAGTTTTCCAGTGACCAGGGAGGGCAAGAAGGCCACGCCCCTTTGCATGTATTTCACTGTCCATGATGTGGGACAGGTGGCAGCTCTGCAGTAGAAATGGCAGACCAGACCAAAGAAATCATGTCAAAACCAGGATTTCTGTACATCAGGGATTTCTGGTTTATCTGCCTAAACTTACCAAATAGTAAACATTTATCTCCTTTTCTTTCTTTATCCCTTCCCTCCCTTCCTTCCCTCCCTCTCTCCCTCCCTTCCTCCCTTCCTTGATCTAGACTTTGCTGGAATATTCTTTTTTTTTTTTTTTTGAGATAGAGTTTTGCTCTTATTGCCCAGGCTGGAGTGCAATGGTGCAATCTTGACTCACTGCAACCTCTGCCTCCCGTGTTCAAGCAATTCTCCTGCCTCAACTTCCTGAGTAGCTGGGGTTACAAGCATGTGCCACCACGCGTGGCTAATTTTTGTATTTTTCGTAGAGATGAGGTTTTGTCATGTTGGCCAGGCTGGTCTCGAACTCCCGACCTCGGGTGATCCGCCCACCTTGGCCTTTCAAAGTGCTGAGATTACAGGTATGAGCCACCACTTCTGGCCTTTGCTGGAATATTCTAAACACACATTAAAAATAGTTTTAATGTGAGATTTTTGGAGAAGAGACAGTAGAGTGTGGTGGCTGAGTTTGGATCAGACAACATG